GATCTTTTCCTGCAAGTAGACAAAAATAAGACTATATTAATACATTATGTTCTTTATTCTTTACCATCTACTGGAAAATAATGAGTCACTCAAAAGTAATGCCATGCCTCAGAAGACAGCAGAAATACCTACTGAAGGGCAGAGACCTTGTCTTCTCCCATGTCCCCAAATATCATAATGCTAGGCACAGTGGTAGTGTTTAATTAACATTTGATAAACAGACATCTCCAATCTCTTTTATCAAATAGTAGTACCTCAAACTTTTGTTTTGAAACAAGGGTATGTAAGACAGGTTACTCTAATGGAACAAGATGCCCTACAGCTATACTACTGATCCAATTCTACTTGATAACCATAATTCATCTGTGAATCAAGGGTTTTTTATAAAAGTAGAACATACATCAGTTACATATCCTGATATATCATCATAATAAATATTTTATGTGTACAACTAAATCCTAATTTCAATATAACCTCTATGGTGCCTGTTTAAGTTCTTACATCTTGGTAAATTTCACTGACCTGTGTGAAAAAGATACAATTCCAAATGACAATTCAAGATTAAAATTTAACAAACACTCCACCAAAACCCATTTAAAGTATCGTTTTGTAATCTCAAATAAAGCATAACACAATTTTAGAATAGATCTACTCCCTTACTTTAAACAAAAATGCTTTGAAATATAGATTTAAAAAATTTCTTTTCCTATTAAAAACTAACTAGATAACTAATATCAAGAGCTCAAAGTCATACTTTCTTTTCTGAATTGTGATGTTCAATTGACCGAATAGAACAAAAGCAGACACTGGATTTTTTAAAGTAATTTTACAGCAATTATTCTCAAATGGAAATTTAAGAGAACACAAAACTGTAGTAACAAAAGCACTATGAACAACTTCCATTTTAAATAGTAGCTGAATATAGTCTTCTCGAACTTGGGAACATCAAAACTACATTTAACCAATGCTTTGACAAATTGGGTAGGAGCTCTAATAGCATAGTGCCTAAGGCATCTGACTGCTAACCAGAAGGCTGGGGGTTCAACCCCACCAGCCACTCCTTGGAAGGAAGGTTGGGCAATCTACTTCTGTAGTGATACCACCTTGGAAACCCAAGGAGGGGTTGCTATGAGTCAGGTTCTACTTGATGGCAGTGAGTTTTGTGGGTTTTTTTTGATAACTTGGGTACTACCATTTATCTCGGTACAATGGTAACTCATATCGTTGCATTCAGTTTTCCATGCATTCTGCCTTACTCTGTCCCAACATAGTCTCTATGAAATCTTTGTTGAATGACAGATTAAATAACTGAATAATTGCTGGCAAAACGGGATATCCATTGGCAGAAAAATTAAAGAAGAGCCATACCTAACAGTACACACAAAAACGAACTCAAGATGGATCAAAGACCTAAACGTAAAACCCAAAACTATAAAGATCAACGATAAAATACGGACAAACTTAGGAACCATAATTTATGGTATAAAGACTATCAAGCAGAACCCAAAATACACAAACAGCAGAAGAAAAACTAGATGACTGAGACTTTCTAAAAATTAAATTCTTATGTGCATCAAAAGACTTTCCAAAGAGTACAAAGAAGACCTACAGATTGGGAAAAAAAAAATTGGCAACAACATATATGAAAGGGACTTATTTCTATATTCATCACAACAATACTTACAATAGCAAGGAGATGGAAAAAACATAAATGCCCATCAACAGATAAATGGATAATCAAACTACGGTATACACACACAATGGAATACCATGCAACACTAAAGAATAAAGAACATCCAGCAAATCACCTCATAAAGTGGATGAACTTGGAGGATCATTATGCTGAGTGAAATACGTCAATCACAGAAGGGCAAATATTATATGAGTCCATTACTATAAAATGTCAAGGAAAGGTTTATACAGGAAAGGAGATTTTGTTTGTTGGTTACCAGGGATGGGAACGGAGGAAAAACAAAAAATAACTGAATAAATAGTAATATAGTTACCTTCAAGATTTCAGAAGAAACATTATAGATTTAATGCATACTTATTTTTTTATATAAATACACAGTAAAGAGAATAATGACAACTAATCACTCCTTTAAACATTAGATAACTTAAATCTGAAAGAATGAAGCTACTCTTATTGAGGACACCGAATTTATTATCCAAAGAAGAAATATAATGCCAAGAAATAAACCAAAACGTTAGTTATCTAAATGTGGTCTTTGTTAGAAATACATACAACCTAGGCCTAATGACTAGGAAACCACCACAATCTTACAATCCCAGTCAATCTGGCAATGCCAAGTCATAATTTTTATCCTATATAAGGATGAGGAAATAAATGTGTTGAGACTAATGCTAAGACGTACTAGATACTGTTCTGCTTAAACTTGCTCAACTGCCTATAAGGCATTTCCAACTCAGATCTGTCTGACTCCAGACTCTCTTGCATTATTTCCTACATGACAATTGAAACACATGTAACCAAGTCACTAATGTAGTCTAGCAACAGGAGAGGCTACATACAAACTGCTTTCCACATGGAACCTGGAATATCACCTTGGTTAAGAAACAAGTAACAAACAAAAACACCAAAGACAAAGCCATCAAAAGAGCAGGCAGAGAAAGAGAAGATGGTACTAGTGGGAAATCAATCAATAGACTGTTACTAAATTTTCACCAAAGCAGAGAGACACAAAGTCTTAGCTACCACACGTTCATACAATTTTAAAAAATCCAAGTTATGTCAGACTGTTAAAGGTCGAAATTTAAGAATAACCAGTGCAAAAACAAGTTTTTCCTCTTTATCTACATACTAATTTTTTAATATATTAAAAACCGCTTACTGACCTGACATGGTACCCACTCCAATCACAAGGCATTCAACAAGAGCATCAAGGGTAAATGTGGGACCTAAAATTGCCATTCCACGAGCAATATTTTCCCTGACTTCATCCTAAAACATAGACCAAACACATCAATGAGGTAAGGTAAAAAGTAATTTTTAAAGATGTTAGAGAGAATTCTTGGGTTTATACTAAAATATAATTTATATTTAAAGAAAAAAATATACAACATGACTAATAGGTATTCAAGATACAAAGTATGTTAATAATGTAGATGATCAACAAAAAGAAAACATACAATACCCTGCTTCTCTTTCCAGAGAATGGAATAATTCTTGGGAATATTTTCCTGAGGTGGTGTATCAATTCTGTCATTTAAATCCCACACAATTATGACCTATAAAAGTCTGAATTTTGGCTAACAGTGACAGAAGCTCTTAGTTGCAAACCTTTTATGAGACCATGTTACTATTATAAAACCTAAATAATATTCTCTCAACATGTTCAAGTAATCATCATAATTTTCTTCATATGTTTAAAGGATCACATATTCATCAAATACATAAATCAGGGCACAATATGAACTATTTAATACTCAGGTACTGATGAAATTGTTGAAAAATGTTAGGTTCTTTAAAGTCACTAAAAAATACTAAGATGAAACTTTAAATGGGAAATAATGCTAGTGTTAATTCAAGTGGTTTAGAAATACTCTGGGGCTTTCTTCCATTAGCTCCTGCCCTACTCTCTAATGTATTTTACTAGGTAGACACTCCTATTTACCTAAAAGTTGTATTAAGCATAATTTCTGAAAATGTTCAAAAAGGACAATGGGGAATATTCCAAATTCCAGAAGTGATGTAAGATAATGGGACTTTCCTCATGAAGCACTCATGAAGACCAACCAGTCTTAGGACTTCACAATTAAATCTGAAATTCAGACAACTCCTCAATCTTAGGCTATGAAGAAATCCTATTAACCCTTCCTATTAATGCAAACAAACTAAAGAAGAGAAAAAAAAGGAATACCATTCACATTCCTGTCCTGTAAATAATACTTACCTGTGAATTAGAACTGAGGGCAAATTTTGCTAATGTACTAGCTCTGGAAAGGTCAATCAAAAGCAGGAAAAAGGGCAAAGCTTCACTAGTAAAAGAAACAAATAAGACGATTAGTAACATTTAACTAAGGAAAAAATATGGTTTTTTAAAAAATTTTGAAACAAACCTTTTATGCCTATACATGGTATGATACTTAGTACACATGTACACTAATATGTGTATCTTTCTGCAGACTAGAAGGTACATCTTGTACTTCTTTGGCATCCCCAAAGCTAAACATAAGTTACTCAAAATATGTTACAAAAATCTTTAATATTAAAAGTGTAAATATATTCACAGATATACATTTTGATAATTGTAGCAAAATTTTATCTTTAGACAAAAAAAAAGTCTCAAGTAGCATGAGGGAAAAATAAGTAATATATTTCATTTTTCTCATTAATCACTACTTGGGAAAGATCAGCTAGACAACTTGTCTGGAGAACAAACTGGTAGTCAAAAGCTCTAAAAATCTGCATACCCACTATCCCACTTGTAGGAATACATCCCAGGGAAATGATTATGCATATGCATAAAAATTTACCAACAAAGATATTCATGACAAGAAAAGTAAATGGGGGGAAATTAAGCAGCCTAAATATCTAAACCTAGAGTATTAAGTAAATAAATTATACAGTAGAACACAGTCATGACAAAAAATACTTTAACATCAGATGTTAAGATGATCATAAACTATTATTAGCTATAAAGAAGTTATAAAAATGTTAACAGGTATTAAAATCAGCTAATAGTAACATTCTATAATACTCTCTTCCACATTTTCTAAACTTTTGAATATTCATATATTACCTTTATAACATGAGGGAAAAACTCTTAAAAAACATGATGAAAGAAAGTAGATTTAGGCTATAAATACTTACTTCAAGCCTGTCAATTCTTTATCTAAGAAATGAATGACAACTGTACTAAATACGAAACTTGAGAAAATTGTGAAGAGGCCAGCAATACCTAAAATGATAAAATTCAACAAACAGAAAAAATTTCATCCTTTATCACACAAATAATAACATGTAGTCTCATAGTATTTTTAAAGAAATAATAATATTTTTCCAGATTATTAAAGTTCTGGTAGCGTAGTGCCTACGGCATTTGACTGCTAACCAGAAGGCTGGCAGTTCAAACCCAACAGCCACTCCTCGGAAGGAAGGTTGGACAATCTACTTCTGTAGTGATACCGCCTCAGAAACCCAAGGAGGGGTCGCTATGAGTTGGTCCAACTAGGCGGCGCATAACAACAACAACAACAAAGTTCATGCAATGTTTAACCCCCAATAATAAGAAAAGAAAGTACTGAATGCATGCAGCACATTTTTAGCAATCCATGTTTCTAGTCACATAATTAAAACACACAGGAGTATTCTCAAAGCAAAAAGAAAAAAAAAAAAAAGCTAATGGCACACAAAGAAATAAAATACATAAAATTATTACCCAAAATATATTTTGATCCAAGCTGACGTAAATTCTGGAACTGGAAGTAAATATACAGGATTGCTATGCATCGTGTTATCGTCAGAATTATAATGTCACTGCTCAAAACATCCTATTGGGAGAGATAGGTTAAAAAAAGAAGAAAAAAAAATACTTCAACAGCTCTGGCATTTGAATTAAGCAATCAAAAATAAAAATGTGTATTTTATATGCATCATTTATTTACACATTATCATAATAATAAATATAAGTACACTACCAAGTCAAAAATATTGAATATAAAAATTTAAATCTGATTTTTAAAAATCAACTGTATTAAGCCAATATATCATCACAATAATTTCTGTTAGTCACTTACAAGACCTCTCTCTCAAATAATGCCAATTACACTCATTTGTGCAGATAATACAAAAAAAAAGTCTTTCTAGTACACTTCTGTAACTAAAGGGAGATCTGAAGTAAATTCATGAATAATTAACTAAAGATTTTATTCATAACATTTTTTTAATTATATGGTCTCTAAAATGAGACAGTTTATAAATTGAAAACATTAAGCAAGATCATATTAATTTCACTAACCTCTTCAAACTTTTGACACTCATAATTCCAACCACAGATCTTATCATTACCAGTAAACATGTTCATGGACATCATACAGATGGTAAATGTTACTGTCCCCACTATGACTTCCCAAGGATGGGAAGCCACAAAGAGTCCATGCATTCGGAAAAGTCTTGACAGCATTGTAGCTACAGGGGCTTTGGTTCCTGAAAAGAATATCAAGTGTGAACACTTAGATGGTCCACTGTATTTTTAGGAAAAGTGCATTGTATACATAGTGCTTTAGACATATAATACTATCTGATGATGTTCTTCATAATTTAGGCAAAGAATTATAAAATTAAAGTAAGAGGACTGTTATTACTTCTTTATTTATAACATTTAAATCCCCTATTACTCACTAGCAAACCAAGTTAAAAGCAACTCTTTCTTAAAAAATGTATTAATTCAGGTATCTAAGATGAAAGCAAACAAGTCAACTCAGTCCCTGGTATTATCTCAGAAAAGAGGGAGAGCAACAAAGCAGAAAACAAACAATAGTGAGAAACAACTATTCACATTTATTTTCTAATTACTCCGCTATAAGATGCATCATCAGAGCACTCTCTTTATTCTTCACAATCTAGTTACACAAAAGGTAAATACCAATGTGTCCTACAAATCATCATTTTAGTTATTTGTAAGTTCCTCAAGGTCAGGGACTCATTAACTTTTTTACTCCATCCAACATATAGTACGTTGTCACTAGCAAAATGCTAATAAATCTTAACGTTGCTGCCAGAGAAAAGATTTTTTCTGAAAGATGGCTCTACATTAACAAAGAAGACTAATAATTTTGCTGTGGCGGCTGCTTTTCTTCTACCAGAAACAACAATGAAGCTAGAAGATCAAAGGAAAAGCATCAGATGTGAAAACTTTGCAAACTTACAGCTAATCAAAATGATAGGCTAGTAGTGGAAAAAAAGCTGACCACAGTGTTTGTCTATCTCATTCAAAATATTTTCATCAGAATTTATATGTAATTTTGACATAATGACTACCATGATGAAATTTTCCCATCTCTGATGGCTAAATAATAATTTTGATATTCTGATTTTTCAATCTTACATAGCTTGTTGTTGTTGCTATGTGCCATTGAGTTGGACCCAACTCATAGTGACCCCTCCTTGGGTTTCCAAAGCAGTATCACTACAGAAGTAGATGGTCCAACCTTTCTTCCCAAAGAGTGGCTGGTGGGTTTGAACCACCAGCCTTCCAGTTAGCAGTCAAGTGCCTTAGGCACTATGCTACCAGAGCTTCTAGAAATTGAGGGCCCTGTCTACCTTGCGGGAGCAGCTGGTGGGTTTGAACCGCCAGCCTCGCCCTTGATAGGCAATTGCCTTAGGCCCGAGGCCATCCCCTAACACCCTTAGGTAGCTACTGACCTTTAATTTACGATCTTGCAAGCTTCATTACTTACACTACAATTAATGCTTATTATAATAAAAGGCTACTAACTGCCCATAACAAAGAAAGTTTAAAAAGTAGCAAGAATCCAAATGAATCTCACATTTATGGTAATAACTAAGACAGTGACTGATTTATTGAAGACAGAAAATAAAAAGGCAAGAAATTAAGAAAAAGAAGGCATTAATCAATCTAAAGGGTTGAAAGAAAAAGACAGTGGTTTTTAGGAACCAAATTAATAACCAAGCCTCATCTCTTACTATACCACTCCATCTCCTCTACATGGCAACCATACCAAGCCACCAGCCAGATAACTGGTTTTCAAACTGCCTGTCATAACCCTTCATTAGATCATGAATCAATTTTGTGGGTAAGAACTAATTTTTTTTAAAAGAGAAAACAGTAATACAAATAAACAGCTGAGGTAAAACATGTAGTATGGGTAGATATTACTGCTTGAAACTTTGTTTTACGAGACTATATGTAAATGTGTACATGTGTGTGTGTACGTGTGTGTAATGGATCCAATATAATAAGTAAGGTGAAATTTAAAATGGCTGATATATAAATGTGTCGTGCATTTGCCAGTGTTTATTCATGCTTTAACCTCCCATTCTGTGTCTTATTTTACCCTCCAGCACTATGCACTCACATATAGTAGCTATTCATAAATACCTGTTTAGTTAAAAACAAATTCTTAAACTATAGCATCATGCATTTTACTGGCATATCTTGAAACAAACCTAAAGATGAGTTCTGTTTTTAAGTCACCTAACTATTGATATAATATTCCCCCTCCTCCAGATAAAGGCTGAATGCAGACTATTCAAGAACAGACTAATAGGGGTGGAGACTGGGGAGAAGCTATATTTTAAATATCATACTGGAAAATGAACAACAACAAAATACTTCCTATTAAATTAGTAGGAAATGGGGCAACTGGTGGTGGTGGTGATGTGATGGGACTCTTTAAAAAACACAGTGGAGCTTGAATCATATCCTAGATTTAAAAAAAAAACAAAATTCACTGCCGTTGAGTCAGATTTAACTCATAGCGACCCCTCCTTGGGTTTCTGAGGCAGTATCACTATGGAAGTAAATTGCCCAACCTTTCTTCCCAGGCGTGGCTGATGGGTTAATTGCAACCAAAAGCCTCCTAATAGTCTTCTATCCCATATTTCTCTTCCACATTTAAGTTAAACAAAACAAAACCCCCCACAAACTGGGCTACAGGATCAAATAGCATCAATACTGCAGAAAATGAATTAACTAAAAACAGGTTTCAAAATTATGTCAAAATAGGGGGAGGGGCACGTCACTGTCTAGGCAACACTGAGTTTCTATTAAGGGTGACAGAAAAATATGGAAACAGAGCTGATGGTTACACAAATGATGAATGTAATTAATGCCAATGAACTGTTGTTCCTGTAAAAAATGTTGACATGACAAATGTTTTATTATACTATACATATTTGTACCACAATAATAAACTATGTCAAAAGCATTTCTAATCCCCTTTCCAAAAAAGGCCCTCAATATATATCTCAAAAAACCAAACTTACTGGCATCAAGTTGATTCCAACTCACAGTGACTCCCACTGGGCTTCCAAAACTGTAAATATTTACGAAAACAGACTGCCTCATCTTTCTTCTCCAGAGCAACTGGTGGACTTGAACCACTGACTTTTTGGTTAGCAGCCAAATGCCTTAACCAGAGCTACACTGCAATCACCAGAGCTCCTTTCAATTTATATTATTCTATATCAAATAAAAGTTACTCTGTGAGCCCTTTTCTATTAAAAAGTTAATTTAGATGAATTAAAATCTGAACTGCTAGCAGGAAGGAACCTCAAATTGATCACAATGGTTTTCGTTATTAACTCATAGGTATGCATGCGGCACATTACATTTTCCCTCAAAAGATTTCATGGTAGCACTGTCAACTCTGCAACATCTTTTCAGAGGTCTGAAGAGTTCTTTTAACATTTCGGAAAAAAATTACACGTGATCCTGTGAGCCACATCCAAACAGAGAACACCACCTATTTGAAAATATAAACTGAAGAGTCTAATATATACAGGTGTGTCAAAAGTAATAATTGTAAACAATCTTCTTTCTCATGAGAATCCTCTCCATTTCCCAAGACTATGCAACACATTTACATGCCATAGAATTCAATCCTCCATATTCACCACAAGTTGCAAAAGTGGCACTAGTAGGCTCATGTAAATTCAATAGACAGAATTTACCCCACACTGCAATAAAAATAAATTGCATTTAAAAATAAATTAAGTAGGCAACATAGGCCTTGTTGAAGTATACTGCAAATCATTCCCAGATTTTAAGAGTGCAAACCTTAAACTCTAAGCCAATCAGCTATAGGAACCACCCACCATGGTCAATTGCAAAAAAAAAAAAAAAAGATGCTTTAGTGTTGATTATTTCCTTCCACTCAACACTCCTGTTCCACATATTCTAGTACTTGATTATACACTGTCTTACACTATTCTCAAATTAATTAATGTGTATGTTTTGTCTCTCTCAAGGCAAGAGCTATGGTATTGCAGTCATTTTTAACCCCAACAGGATCTAGACATTCTGCTGCTAAGTATAGTATTCTAGAGAAAGAAAAAAAAACAAACTTTCTTTTGCACTCAAAGTGAGGAAATGTGGATTTCATACCCACTTCTGTTATATGCTACCTGTTTGACTGTGGGTAAGTCACATCTCTCTTTGTTCACTTGCTTCCTCGTCTGCATTAGGATGAATCTAGAGTTCCAAAGTTCTCTAACAAAGGCAAGTGTTAAATGGAACCATATAAAACTTTTATTTCTGTAGGTAAGAAACAGTCAGATTTCAAGCATCAGCAATTTCCAACAGGTCAACCAAAATAAACACTCTATAATGTAACTAGGAGCTCTGATAGCACAGTGCCTAAGGCACTTGACTGCTAACCAGAAGGCTGGTGGTTCAAACCCACCAGCCACTACCAGGAAGGAAGGTTGGGCAATCTACTTTTGTAGGGATACGCCTGGGAAACGCAAGGAGGGGTCACTATGAGTCGGGTCCGACTTGACAGCACATGACAACAACACATAATGTGACCATTATGAAACTAGACCAAAAGAAAAAAGACAAAACCAAACACATTTATTCTGAAATGGCCATGCCATACACACAACAGTTTTTATATGCTAATACTGTAATCGATGAACAATTACTCTTTTTTTAAACTTCATTTTGCTAATTTGTTTTTCCTTACTGCCAGGTTTATCACAAATTCTTAAAATACACAAGAAAGCAGTCCTGCAAAATCCAATCTATCCCCAAAGTAAAACCCAGGCCTTTGCTAAGTTATCTAGAAATAATTCAAGGTCTCTCACTGCATGGACAGGAACACAAATTCACAAGTAAACGAGAAATACATTCTCTACCTCGTGAGATACTGGAATTAAGGCACAACTACTTCATATGACCCAGAAACAGATGTTTCCCATACACTTTCGGACCAAGACTAAGAACGCATCTCCTTAACCCCTGAAATATTTCAAATGACCATTTAAAATGAAATATGTCGACCTCCTCCTACTGCAGAAATTGCTGTTTTTGAACCTCCAGGGTGCGTTTTTCCTAACCATAACCAAATCTGAAAAATCTACGAGGTATGAATTAAAGACACAACAGCACCTAACAGACTACTTCCTTTACAAGAAAAAGAAACCCTTTCAGTCTTTGGGTGAGTCCCTGGAGAGGACTCCGCAAGCCCACAACCCGTCTGTCATGGAAATAATTGGACATGTGTATACAGCACCACGGCTGTTTCACAGCTCTAACTTAGTCAGCAGCATTTATGGAGATTTTCCCCTTCGTTTGCAAGGTGCTGACGAACAGCAGCGCCTGGGCGTTAACCAGCCCTGGACCGCGTAGACTCATCTTCCGTCCTCTCCGTGAGCTGCCGGCCGGCCTGCCCCACAGCCCCGTGGCATTTCTCGAGCCAAGGGGCCCTCCGTAGTCGCCCTGCCGGGCACCCCCTCCATCCAGAGCCCCAGTGACCGTGACCGCGCGCCAGCATTGCCCACATCGGGCAAAACTGCCAAACAGGGTCACGCCCCGCCAGTGCATCGATGGTGACCGCGGCCACGAAGGTGCTGGACGCCGCCTGTCCCTCATGCCCAGGCTGGCCCCGGGGCTACCCAGACAGTAGGTCTGTCGCCGTTCGATCGGCCAGGCCTCAAGGACGTCTCCTCGCAGTTCCCGCGGACAGGTCGCCACATCGACTAAGCCGCAAAACCACCTCCGACCAGGTGCCGGCAGACATTTCCCAGGGTCCAGAGAAACTCAAAAACCGCTACCAACGAGGCCCAACTCCCGCTCCCACCCACCACACCAGCCCCTTCATGGCCACCGTCCGCCTCACCTCTCGATCTCACTAGAGGACAGAGAACTCCGGCACCGGCGATCCGGCTGTCTCCACTCAAAGGAGACGTGAAGCGGAAGGAACCCTCGACTTACGCACACACGAAGCGGACGAGCAAGCGACCAATAAGAAAGGATCGTCCGATCGTCTAGCCAATCATCTGGGAAGTTCTCGGCCAGACGGCACTACGTCACGAACGGTCGCCTTAACAACCGCCCACCGCTCTCACTAGTGCAGAGAACAGGCACCTCACCATCTCTCACCACGGCTCAGCCAACCAATGACTAGTCGAGTACCAGCACCAGTTCCTTCCTATTGGTTGGAGAGCCATGGGGGCGCAAGCATGGAAGCTGTCTGGGAGAAGGCGATAGGGGGTCTGCGGGTGGAGTGTCCTACAACCCAAGACCTAACCTGTGGGTAGTCATGGGGGCTGTCAGAGTACTATGGGAGACAGTGGTATGAAATGGAATGGGAACGTGAAGCTAAACACAAGGGTCATGGTTGAGAGTAGAGAGATCAGTTAGTTCAGAGAGATGGAGGGGAGACCCTGAAAAAAAAAAAAAAAAAGGGAACGTGGTAGCAGAGTGCAACCCAAACTCAGACCCTCAGACCGACCCTTATCCAAAACCTAAACTGACACCTTCCTACGACTTACTCATTTGTGTGGTTCCCTCCAGTCACCCGGGTCTCTGCTTCTTTCCCTTGTGGGGCTGCTGGCCACACACTCTGTCGATTCTCTCTGAAAACTGCCTGCTTGAGTCCTCTGCATTCCTTCTGACCTCGCCCTCCTGCAGTCCTTTATTACCACTTCTCTGAAATACTGCAATAGCCTTCTCAACTGGTCTTCCCACTTTTTTGGTGCCACCCTTCAACCCATCCTACACTACTGCCAGAGTAATCTTCCTATTATGCCATATGTCTGACCCCAAACCATTAAGAGTTTCTCATTGTTTACTGGATTAAAAAATCTCCCCAGCTTGACACTTCACCAGTATGGCCCCATCCTACTTTTCTTGCCTGTCCTCGGAAGGAAGGTTGGGCAATCCTACTTCCGTAGTGATACTGCCTCGGAAACCCAAGGAGGGGTCGCTATGAGTCAGGGCTGACTCGACGGCACATAACAACAACAACAACAACAATTTTTCAATACTTGCCTACATTTCAGCCAAAAGAGCACCGCCATTTTTTCAGTGACACTCAGTACCTAAACTCTTTGCTTACATTCCCTCTGTTTAACCTGGGTATGCCTGCCCATTTTCATTGTTAAACTCTTAGCTGCCCTTCAAGGACCATTTCTTTTGCCACCTCCTTTGGTGATTCCCTCAAACACAACTCATCTCTCCCTACTTTGAACACCCATAAAATTTCCATAATATTCTGTGACTTGTGTTAGTATATTTGGAAATTCCTTAAGGATAGAAATTGTACCTCACTTAATTTTTAAAGCCTCATATTTTGAAACAATCCTTGGGATGTATGTACTCTCTAAGACATGCTGTACACTCAGTGTCATTGCTGTCAAGTCAATTCCTACTCATAGCGACCTCCATTGGGCTTCCACTCCTGTAAATCTTTACAGAAGCAGGTCGCTTCATCTTTCCTGTGTGGAGCGGCTAGTGGGTTCAAACCATTTGGTTAACAGTCGAATGCCTGAACAACTCCACCACCAGAGCTTCTTATATACTCAGGTGTTCTAATAAACTTATTTTCTTGCTAAATTCTCACAATCTTTATAAATATTAACTCCATTTTACAAAAAAAAATTAAGCAAATTACAGTATATCATATAATTAGAAAAAATGGATTTGAACCTAGATCTAAAGTTTATGTTGATTCTACTATACTTCATTGCTTCAGTATAAGACCTTTATTCATATTTCATTACCAAACATTTTTGGAATGTCCATTATGTGCCATGTACTATAAATGGCACTGGAGATATAACAACAAGCATAACAGACATGGTGCCTGCCTTTATGGAACTTATATTCCTGCACAGATTAGATGATCAACAAAAAGTTGTTGGACTAATAGCAATGTAAGGAAAGAGTTGTAGAGTAAAGGAGACTGAGGCAAACAGCCAAAGTTCGTGGTTTACCAAAACAGAGGAGGAAGAGAAAGAAAGTAAACAATATCTATAAAATGCCAAGAGCCTAGAAATTTTTTCATATAGATATGTGTGTTAGTGTGTGTGTGTGTGTGTGTATCCCCTAGAAGTCTAAAGAGCCAGATAACACAGAATTGAAAGTTACAGATTATATAAATGCCTACTGATATAAATTCAAATAATGATTACAAAGCTTTCACCACAAAAGATTTTAAACTAAGATTTGGACATTTTCATTCCCAAACTCTGCTTTCTTGAGAACTCATAGGTATATGAGTCCAAAAGCAAACAACGAAACTATCTAGTTTTATGTTCATAAAACAACTCTTTATCCTTCCCAAAATGTGTTTCAAAGAATCTTTATTGCACTTGTCTCAACCTGAGGAGCTCTGGTGGTGTAGTTCCTCAGGCATTTGACTGCTAACCAGAAGGCTGGCAGTTCAAACCCAGTAGCCACTCCTTGGAAAGAAGATCGGGCAATCTACTTCTGTAGTGATAACTGCCTCAGAAACCCAAGGAGGGGTCACTATGAGTCGGATCTGACGTGACAGCAGAGAGGTTTTTTTTTTTGTTGTTTGTTTTTGTCTCAACCTTACTTGCTGAAAGTGAAGATGACTTGAAGCACTTACCAATGAAGGTCAAAGACTACAGTCTTCAGTACAGATTACACCTCAACATAAAGAAAACAAAAATCCTTCACAACTGGACCAATAAACAGCATCACAATAAATGGAGAAATGATTGAAGTTAGGAGGGATTTCGTTTTACTTGGATCCACAATAAACACCCATGGAAGCAGCAGTCAAGATATCAGACATCATATTGCACTGGGAAAATCTGCTGCAAAAGACCTCTTTGAAGTGTTGAAGAGTAAAGATGTCACCTTGAAAACTAAGGTGTGCCTGACCCTAGCCAAGGTATTTTCTTCAGTAGCTTCATATGCATGTAAAAGCTAGACAATGAATAGGGAAGACCGAATAAGAGTTAATGCCTTTGAACTGTGGTGTTGGTGAAGAACACTGAAAATACCATGGACTGCCAGAAGAAAAAACAAATCTGTCCAGGAAAAAGTGTAGTTGGAAGCAAGAATGGCCAGACTTAGTCTCTACTTCGGTCATGTTGTCAGAAGGTACCATTCTGGAGAAAGATATCATGCTTGGTAAAGTAGAGGGTCAGCAAAGAAGGGGAAGACCCTCAACAAGATGGATTGACAGAGTGGCTGCAACTATGGGCTCAAGCATAACAATGAGTGTGAGGATGGTGCAGGACCAGGCAGTGTTTCCTTGTATTGTACATAAGGTCGCTATGAGTCAGAGCCAACTTCGTGGCACCTAACAACAGCAGCAATTTGTATTTAATGACAAATCATAATATTTGACATGGGCACAATATAGAAGGGGAAAGTAAGGTGTAGGGTTGGAGAAACCTACATGACTTCTACTCTTGTGGGTTTACCCTGGGAGCAAAGAGTTTATAAAAGTACAATTTTAAGAGCCCTTTTAAAAATAATGAATGACTTGCATTGTCATCTTAATCTCCATTGTCCTTAGCACTTACTTATGTAAATATGTTAGCTCTTCAACCTTCACTTTTCTTGGTTTTTTTTTTTTTTTTTATTATGGGTTGTCCTTCAAGACAGGGAATTATAATAGTAACAATGATAAATATATACATTGATATATTAATAAGATATCCTTCTATGTGTCAGCTAGTTTTGTAGAAGTTCCATATATATGAACTCCTTCAATTCTCATAACCGTTCTATGGGGAAAGCATTACTAGAATCTGCATTTGCAGAAATAGAGAAGTTAAGTAACTTGCCGATGTGTACACAGCTGAGATATGGAAGATCTGGAATATGAACTCTGAAATCTGGCTTTCAAGTACATGCTCTAAACCTCTCCACTGTCCTACTTTTTGCCTTAGCATAATATGGTAACACATAATTCTGTATTAGCACATATCATAGGATTATTCAAGTTTACGATGCTTTATTACAAAATACTTTTATAATTACAATGGAAAGGTTTACTTATTTATTTCCCATACATCATTCCAGCTGTGTTCAAATTTATATCTTCCAGCTCTGAGTAGTTTTTTCTCTCTCTCTTTTCCTTGCACAATCTTTTTTCCCTCCATTGATATATATATATATATTTTTTTTTTTTAATTATTTTTTTTTTAACTTGTCTTAGTTGCCTGGTGCTGTTGAAATAGAAATGCCACAAGTGGGTGGCTTTAAAGAACAGAAGTTTGTTTTCTCACAGCTCTGGAGGCTAAAAGTCCAAATCAGGATCTCACCCATGTTGATTCCTTCCTTGTAGGTAGTCCTAGGTTTTCCTTCATTCCTTGGTTCCTTTTGTCTAATCTATTCTTTTTGTAACTAAGAAGTGAGTACATCTAGAACCCATCCTCCTCAGGTATCTCATTAACATAAAAAAGAAAATCCTATTTCCAAATAAGATTATTAACTCCATGATGGGACCTACCACAATCAGGCAAGTAGCTGCTTTAGGGATGTGGTCTGCTTCCCATATATAAGAAACAGCTTTGGGAATGGTCTCTAGCCTACGGCACGCTTGGACCCTGCATGTAGCCATGTTGTTGTTTAGCAGCTTGCTATGCTCTGCCGACCTTGGGACTTACAATGGACTTACAATGGACTTGGCCTGCCATGTGGTTTGGTGACATCGGGACTATGCCTTTTTACTTGTCAACCTTGGGCTTGTCGGTCTCAGCAACCAGCAGCTGTCTGAGTGAAGAAAAGCCTCTAGCTCCAGTGGGCTGGGAATAGGAGGCAGAGCTGAAGCCCAAGGTTGAGGGGCTTTCACCCAGCCCCTAAAGCCTGGCACTTTGAACTGGGACTTAAATTGTAAGAATAAACCCCTGTTTGTTAAGGCTCTTCCATTCATGGTATATTCCTGTCAGAGTGGCACTGGGTAACCAGAACACATGGTAAGTGCTCTGACCAAGGTATGCATAGAATTCTGTTGCAACAGAGGAATGACAGAAATTTGGGGTGCA